TGCTTTCAAAATACATCAGGAAAGTTTAATATCATTTTTAATGGCTTTTGACCATTGAAAACCAAGCAGGTTGTCAACTATTTGGCGTACGATATGACAGGCTAGAATGTGCTCACGCCTACACACGCCTGTGTGTTTGCTGAGCGCCTTTTGTATGAGCTATATATGATTCTTTTATGAGCTGTGTGGTGGCTGGCCTTTCATAGGTGTGCTCTCATTGAGCACTTAATCAATAGCTGTCATCTTGAACTCATCCACTAAAGTAGGCCCCTGTTCTTTGTCTGCCCCGTAATCCATCTCCATACAGATATTTGAATTTGTATTACACACTAAGAGGAGCTTCCTCACTATCAGAAGACTTAACAGATTGTTTAAGGGCCCTCAGTACGTATTTTCACATGCACAAGAACTGGTTTATAAAAATCTATTCGAGGGGTCTGAGGACCTGGGGCACTGTGGTAAGCAGGGTAAGCCAGGGACATGTGAAGAATTTCAGATTTGCAGGGAGGCAATTTCTGTGTCTTGGTTTTTCTGATTGTTTTGTTAAAGCTGGTTTTATTGCTGTTGCTCAGCTCTTCTGTCTGTCTATTTGCTTTGGGTTTAAGGAGTCACCAAAGGTAATTTATAGTATTTCCCCCCCCCCTAGGAGAGTATTTGATAAGGCACTTCTGAAGCTGCCCGGGTACAGGCTCGGAAAAAGGGAGACACGCTTTGGATTCCGCATGAGTACGGTTTCTAAATCACTGGCAGCTTCTTGTGATTGTACTTTTGTAAGTCTATCTGTAGTAAAGACTGATAGTGCTCTGGTTGCAACGCTAGAGTGATTGTAGTTTATCTGAAGTAAACATTGATAGTATTGGAAGACACAATGCATTTAAGTCCCCCCCCCGCCCCCTTTACTCAACTTCAATGTTCCAATCCCTGCAGCTCAGCCCTTTCAGACACAAATGTGCAATTATAGGGTGCTCTGTTAAGAAAATAGTTTTTGAAAATTGGAACTAAAAGAATGTAGAGTGGGGTGAGTAATTGGAGGTCAATAGAAAGCAATGCTCCACGACAGAGCTGAACCCGCAGAGGGACAGCAAGCGAGATAGGGAGACGGGGAGAGGAAGAGAGAGAGCCAGCAGAGTGTCAATCAGTCTGCATTTTGCCCGCATTGCCCCTTAATTTAATCACTGTTTAATTACTGCTGTCCCCTGAGGGGCGCTCTGTTAGGTTCAGTTACTGAGCTTTTTCCCTTCCTCTGCCTTTGTCTCTGGGTACTGGGTATTTAGCCCTTGGACACTCTCTCTAAAGCGGGCCACTTTCTCAGAAGCCTCAGCAGTATTTCAACCTTACCTCGGGGCCCCTAGCACAAATCTGCTGATGATAATGTCAAGGGCAAAGCACATATGCACATGTGTGATGAAAGCTGCCTGCAGGAGGAGAGACACCACAAACATGCAACTTTATCCAGCAGAGCAAGGGCAGTAAAAACCTGGGAAAGTCTTGAAGAACCAAGTACCTGTCCTTTCAGGGCAACCCCTTCCCAATATAAGTCTCTGCGCGCAGGGTTGGATGTAATGTGAAATCCAAGAGCAACCCATCGTTTAAAAAGCACTGCTCTAAGTCAGGTCAGGTTTTCTTAAATGGTTCCCTGGAACTGTATAGTGTCTGCTACCATATCTATGGCCAAACACAGCGCACATGTTGTGGTTTCTTTGGATTACCAGCAACCCACCGCCACAGATCCTACACAGGGGCTGCGTCGGGGGAATAACTCACGTTTAGCTCTTAAGCTACAGCAATCAATATAAATTTAGCATGATAATGATCAAGTGCAGGGGGTGTAAGTCTCCCGTGCTTCTCTCTCTCTCTTTTCCTGGTACATGGCACGGAGCTCCAGCTCCCAGAGGCCTGTGGGTAACACAGCTAAGGCGCCACGCTGCACGTCAAACCTCAACTGAGGATTACAGCGGGGAAACAAACAAACAAGGCTGTCTCAGAGTCTTAGCGACAGGCATAGGCAATACCCGGTGCTAGTAATGAAGCCACTGATGGCACACACACCCTCCACAGTTCCCTTCCTGGAGCAGCAGAGGTATTTTAGACTGTGTTAAGGACATAATGGGACAAATAGAGATGATGTGATGAGCGGGCCATGTCTATGTGTGTGTGTGTGTGTGTGTGACTGACTGATAGATGAGATGCAGTCTCTCAGGAGAGTGTCCGTGATGATGACTATCGCCAGGGGAGGAGGGTTGAGACAGTTGTGGCTCCTGGGTATTCAGATTGGAGTGTTGACAGGTTTATTATTGAAGTTTGTTTTTTTTCCCCTCGATTCGTTCTATCACTGGATGGGTGGTGTCAGGGTGTGATAGTCACTGTCTTCTTCTGCACTTTCCTTCTTGACAGACAACAAGTGGGCTGTTTCTACATCAGCTAGTCTCTTGCCACTATGGCACAGCCATCTCAAGACATCGGGAGGAGACAACAATAGTGTTGATTAATTGAACGGCATAAGATTTAATGCTTTGTTTTTTACACTCAGAGTTTAAAAAATAATTTTACAGCGTGAAAAGCAGTATTAACGCCAAAAGCGAATCGAAATTGGCCGTAGGATCGTGCCAAATGTAATCCCTCTAAACTGGCTCGCTGGCCTTGTTTGTGTCAAGCAGGATGCCCAGCCGGAGTATCAAGGCCTGTAATGCAATTGACGACCTGCTGCCTCTGACATTAATAAAGATGGAACATGTACAGGAAATTAAACTCTCACTTTCCTATTGTAATGAGATCTTATCCATCATGATACTGTTTACCTCACAATCAGATAAAATGATCAAATTGAAGCTCAATCAGGGCCTCATGCAATGCCATCGCTGTAACCTGCTGGCATTACTCTTCTAAATGGATGGAAAAGTGAATGGGATTTAAATAAAGACTCTATATGTTAATGGATAGGGTTTAGCTCCCCTGGTGATCCACTTTCTACAGAGACGGAGTGGTGGTGGTGGTGGGGAGGGGGGGCAAGGAGCATGTAGCCGGCACTAAAGATGAATGCCAGTAGTTGTTGTGTTATACACATTTCTAATCTTCTTCTTGTTTTAAAAAAAATGCAAGAAGGAGGAAAGGGAAAATGTTGACCTCAGTAAGTGTCTCAGGCGTCTCTGTGTCCTGGTTGGCCACAAGAGGGAAGTAGCTAGCTACAGAGACAGAACACAGGCCACAGGTCCATAGTAGCAATGGAGAGATGTGAGATATATTAACTAAAAGGTATTATCATCTGCTTTACTTTTACACATCACAGAATTTTTTTTTTTTTTCATTACATGAGCCTATGATCTTTGATACAGAAGAGGGGAAAGTACTATGGACAAGGAGATGAGGCAATGCAGAATTTAATGGTATTGCCTTTTATACGTAATAAGGGGGCACTGATCAAAGGTTCACAATACTTAAAAGCAGCTAGGTTGCACTCAGGAGGGGCACCAAGTGCTCTCCAGCCAGGCTGAGTAAATTGCCAGATCAGCTCATCAGAATTCAACTGGAAGATGTAAGTTAGTGAAGACTAATTGAAGACCGATTTAAGGGGCATCCATCTGGATATGGCAACCCTCTCCCGCTCTCCTTAATTTCTGGTGAATACTAATAATGTTTTTCATATAATAGTGTATGTGTGGATTGGGCGGGGGGGGGAAGGGTTTTTGAAATGAAGCAACTCGAATGTACAGGGTGAAATTACTCAGAGGATATCTCAAGCAGACTATCCATTTGCTTGCCCTCTTCGCTTCTCTTGGTGATGGTGGAGGAGCCACGCACTTATGAAGAACAGCACATGTGGGATGTTATCAGCACCTGCTCAACACGGTTATATGAGCCAATTAAACAAGTATGTGTATGATGTCCTCCTCTACATGATTAGAATCAGAATCTCCAGCTGTGTGGTCTTTCGTGACCTGACTCACGTTAAGATTGAACATTCCACAGAAAAGGGTTCAGTGAATGTAGAGTATTGAGCCACAGCCTGATCAAGAAGTAGGCCACAATGGATGCAACCGCAGATTAATGAAGTCGCGGAGATATGTAAGAGCGAACTGAATTATGTATGCAATATAGGCAGTGCAAATGCTGCAGAATAAATAGAGGTCTTACCTGTAGACTGCGTACTGTACGGTCAGGTGCACTATACGGCAACCTGTGGTGGAAGAGGTACTCAGATCCTCAAGTAAAAGTAGGAATACCATAGTATATAAATACTATTCAAAATGTTCAGTAAAATCACAAAAATGTTATCAGCAAAATGTAATCAACGTATAAAAGACGTATTGTGCAGAATCATGGTTTTATATAGATAGAATATATTATTCTTGTTTTATAAAATACCTGTGTTTTTATTGTTACTTCAACGTGGAACCAACATCAGATACTTAGTATAATACCGGTAGATTAGTAGTACAGTACTACATCATATGTTTTAATGTAAAAAGTAACTAGTAAAGTGTCAAATAAATGTGGAGGAGTAAAAAGCACAATATTTCCCTCTGACAAACGATACACGATGCAAACTGTGGAGAGATGTGAAGCTGTAGGACTGTAGACCTCCACCCACACCTTCCTCACCTTTGGAGGAGGAGGATAAGAGTTAAATGAATAAATGAGATCTTAACCACATTTTCAGGAAATGTAAACAACATACAAATGATATTGATCTGCCAACTGCAAACGAGCAGTCAAGTGTTATTCAAGATGAGTCATCAAAAATAATTTTACTTTTTACAGGAAGAGAAACCTGAGGGATTTGGCATGGTAAGAGAGATAAATGAACAAAGTGAACAGAGGGATATAGGATTAGAACTTATAAAATGTATTTTTCATGTTTCTTGTTTTGGTGCATTCATGCCGTTTAAGCCACACAGCTTTTTTTTCTTCACATGGTCTTCACATGATACATGTGTTCAGTTTCCATGGATTCAATTCTGTGACCCTACAACATCATTTTTATTCTTTCGCTTTGCATCCAGATCTCATGGTGAAAACACTGGGGCAAAGAACGTTGTCAATATGGCATTCACAACTGCTGTTATTTCCCCCAGGACATGGAATCACACATTTGAAACAGTCCTCCAGGGAGATATTTAGACAACAGACTGATCCAAACTGCTGGTAACTCAAACCTCGCTGCAACACCGTCGCCTTTAAAATACTTTTAAAATGTGAATAAGACAAAGAGAGAGATATAGGTTAATAGATGTATAGACACAAATTGTGAAATTGTTTTATTTGTTTTTTTGCACCAAAAATAATGTAAAGATAGTGCCAATGATACAAAATTTTAGATACGTTACGATGATGTGTGTATGTTTAAGACCTTAGGGTCATCAGACATGTCCCACGTGTTTTTATTGTTTTTGAGAGAGGCATATTGCTTTTTCACTCTTCCACAGATCCTCTGTGCCTGTAGTATACTGTTGAGGTATTTAGAGAAATGATGAATCCTAAAAAGCTGTCATCATCATGGTGATTCCATTTAGGGTATGATTACTGTCCCAGATGTCAGTGACAATGAAGGCAACAAGGAGGAGTGTTATATTAGTCCCCAATGCCTGGCAACCATAATACCTTTCCTATTTTACAACCTAACTTTCTCTTACTCCAAGGAGACATTTTCACAATGCTGCTTTGATATGCCTGGCTGCTTGGAAGCTGTTTTAGAAAGAAAAAAAAAAAGACCTCCCCCCGCACCGACAGGTGTCTGATTTCTATTCCCACGGCAAACGTATGCCACAGCTAGATGCAGATTGCCTGTGGAGATCACCGTTTGTGCGAAATAATAGTGTATCTGGAAATAATGGCCCAGGGACGGTCTACAGGCTTTCAGATGAGATGAATGTTTGGGAAGAAATGATACAACGGTGAGGGAGTGATTGCCGTAATGATAGATTCCTAACCGGACATTTTTCATAAATGGAAACTTGAGTTTTGGCCAGAAAAGAATCAAGAATGGGTATGACAAAGTGTGAGACAATTTAGAGAAAATGTTTTCGTACCAAATTGCTGCATCATGGATGCTCGGGATGCTTTAAGGTAATACAGTTCACGCCTGGGTAGAATCAGTCAAAACATCAAAGTTTGAAATGACGCTTGTTGACCGACTAGAAGAAGTTTCACCAAGTTTTTCATCTGGCGTGTCCTCAATTATTGATTTGATTGATGGGTTTACATTTGTCATAATGCACCGTTGAACATGAATAAATGGACTACTTTCTATATATATATTTAACACTTAGGGTATATCAAGGCTCTCTTTCAAAGCCATTTTCCTCTGGTATGCAAAATGGAAGGTCTAACCTGAGGGTATGACAATATGATTAGAATGGGAAGTCATTCCTTCCATCCTCACGGCCACTGTGATATATATATACGGAAGTGATTAGGGGGTAGAAAAAGCTTTGGTTCATTTATATTTCATACAATTTTAAAAAGTAATCTGACCTATAGACGCTCCATACTGGATATGGAAGTAAGGAAGCTGACATCCGTATAATTTCAATGGAATTACTGCATTATTTACGTCATTAAAACCAAGACTACTGTATAACCCACTTTCAGGGGACACATGCACTAATACTAGGTTGGAGATGAAAATAGGGTGACAGCATGGGCACTTTGCAAAGAGATATCTTAAATCAGACTGATCAGTCTAGCATAATGTGATGGCTATTACATTTAGGCTGTATATATGGATATCTGTCAAGGGATAGGGCATTCTGTTAGTGTGAGATCACATCGCATGAAGCTTGAGAGTTTGACATCCGAGAGACACTCGTTGCACTCCATCCATTATTAGTGTTGAGATGTGTCAGTTTCAATTTTCACTACATTGCCCTTGTGGTTAATAATTAGATGTTTTGCAAACACTTTTTTTTTATTACGAGAGAGTCAGTATCTTCATCCTACAATAAAACCAGTTTCTACTCACAGCTCGTCGAATACCGACGCCTGGTCAGTGCCCCTCAGCGACTGAGACCGGCGTACCGAGTGACCCTTTGGCGTCTGTATGAGACGCGCCGGGCTTTCAACTGACTCCAATGTAAACCAGTCCATGCTAGTATTACACGGTTAATGCAAATTATGTAGTATAAAGAGGGGGAATGTCCATGCAGAGTGTGATAGGGACGAGGTGGATGTATCAAACTAATCAACACAAGGATTTCACCCAGGTGACCGCTGTTCATGTCCCGTGTGAAACTACAGAGTCTGGAGATAATTATGTGTGTGTTTGTCACAATAAAGCTGCTTTAAATTCACATTCTAATTGTGATACCTTAACATACATATATGTCATTTCTTTTGCAAATTGTTATGTTGTGACTGCAAACCAATTTAGCTGTAACACAGTGTGGTGCTGTTTTCATGCAACAAGCTATTACATTGTTCAGTATTCAGCTTTAGTGCTGCTTCCCCCATACACACTCTGCTCTGCATCACCAAGCCAAGGTGAAGCAGGATACTGACATGCATTAACTTTGACCCTGCCCAAACATTTACATACACAAAACACAAACCACATCTGTTGATGCCCCCATAAACATGACACATATGTGATGTGCCTGTCACACACGGGCCATGTCACTGTGACCGTGTGACATTGTGACAGAGCTCTTATGCCTTTGTGTCTATTTTGTGTACATGTGGGAGGCGGGAGCATGGGGGGGGGTGTTCCATTTTTGGGTTTTTGATGAGTGTGATTGCGTGGGCGCATTTAGGCTGCCTCACTTTGACAGCGCTGCTCTGGCTCCATCCTGCAGGTCAGCTGGGGTTTAATTGTCAACCTTAAATATTCATGGGCACATTGAGTAGATAAATGAAGGTATAAGCACACTGTAAACTTTTCAATAGGTCAGGTGTCACTGACTTCACCGGATACAATTTACTGTATGATCCGACATTCGCTGCAATGCCAATTAATATGTTGAGAGCTCGAAAAGAAACCCTAATGGCATTTTCCATTTATGTATTATGCGTAATCTACAATGAGATGGATACCGTTAAGACTAAAGGTGCACCGTAATAAAAGGAGGGCTTTACGAGGGTGTTTTATATAGGTATGAATCTATATAATTCTAACATAGACTCAAACCTTTGATTCTTTCAGTCATTACTTTTTACCTGAGCATGTGCTCCCTCTTGATAACCCGAGCACAGTGGTCAAATTATTTTACAGTTTATCATTGTACTCTTGGACAAAAGTGATCAAAGCATCTGTACTGCAGGCTCACCAGCTCCAGCTCTTTATGAGTTCAAACCTAACCTAGTTAGCCTGATCACTGAATCTAATACCAGTTCCACCTAACAGACTCCGTCTCTATATTCATATTTACTTATTAGTTACACCCAGCAACTGCAAAGTGTAACGGTTATGTAGCTAACTTACAAAACACAACTTATAATAGCTATAATAATTATATTTGACCCGTTTAGATCTAAGAGTGACATGTTATGTAGAATATGGTCAACATATAGCATTGACACTTCATCCAAATGCTATTTACTAGAGACGCAAACTAGGAATACATTAGATCATTAGATTTCACAAAAATTACAAAATATACCTCTCATCTACTCATTCTCAACTGCATGAATAGTGCTTACTCTGAAACACATATTTCTCCATGTATGTATCTATGAATACAAAAAAAGTCATATGTACATTTGCAAACGATCATTTTGGCAGTTATGTTACTGCTTATGTTTCTACACTGACTCCTTTTTTTATGTAGTTGATTGCGTGTGATTGCAAGGCACAACAAATGTTTCCTTGCAACCGATTTACAAATTACTGAAGTCATCACTAGCTGAGACATGTCTTAAGTTTTAATAATTCGATTTTTACACATGATTAAGTTAGGATCCGCAATTTAGCAACACAATCAAAGCCAACGTGACCTAACTCAGACGCCCAGCTGTCCCCCTCTTGCCAAGGTTAGCATCCCCTCATCCTCTGTGCTTCCATCCCTTTCCTTAATGGCTTATTTGACGATAATTAACCCTGAATCCTACAGAGACAGGCCGGTAGGAGATTGATGGCCTCGTTGGCCTGCTACACCTGTTCCGCCACGAGGCTCACAGTTACCAAACCATGGCCAAATATGACTGCCCCGGAGCCACGCGTGTTGATGTCAAAGACAAACACAGGTACTCCCTAGTGGCATTGGTGTTCTGTATCGGGCAACATTGTGACCACAACCTCTGGTTAAACTCATTATTCCACTCAAGGCCGGCTGCTCTAAGGGGGCATCCTGGGCTCCTTTTGTCCCAATTATCCATTCATCTGCAGCTTCACATCTTCCTGCATGAAGATGCGCTGACTTACTACAAAAGGCATATTTCATCAGGCCAGTCCCTTTGTCAGTCAGTCCGGAAGGAAACGATTGCACATTTGGGAGTTTGGCAGCACATGGGGACTGTACAATTGACAGTTGAAGGTTGTCAGTGTCTATATACTGTGTTTTGCTGTGAAAGCAAATAATCATGCCAATGCTGAATGGCATTTCCAGGCTCCACACTTGTGCTCACTATTACCATGAACAGATGTTAATTACTTCTTTTTTTTTTCTCACTTTACTTGAGATGTTCATCACTCCCGGTGGAGGCTCTGGTCTTCTCAGGATGGTGGGGTGAAGCTTGGGCCTCGGCAATGTTTTCTACGCATGGGGCTTTCGGGAGTGGGGGAATAATCGAATGCAGAAAAGTGTTTAATTTTTCATAAACAGAGGAACCACCGAGTTCCCACAACTAACAATGTACCCCAAAGCAGATGTAGAGCGTTTTTAATTTATGGAGAACTGAGCGGAATGGGCAGATGGAGCAAGAGGAGGTGGAGGCATGCTGAGGGACTCCACTTTTCTCTCTTCTCACCTCACAAACAAGAGAAGCCTGTGAGCGTGTGCCACAACTCTCACTAACACACTCCCACACAACGCTCAAAGACACGAGCACATGCACAAGCGCAGACATGTACCACCATATACATGCACACACTCCCCACCGCCTCCATCACTTCCACCACACACGGAACGCACAAACACACACTTATCACCCCTTTTTCAACACAATCCCACTCTCCCTTGTAACCCACAACAAGACATGCATGGATACATCCCCCTCCCAGACACACACA